CGTCATTGTTGTTTTGGCGGGTCTGGGCTGGGGATTCGAACCCGCCACCTTAGGTGTACGTGGCTGGCGCCTTAGCCGGTTGAGCTATAGGTGCCAAGCCGAAATCTGAACTCTTGAACATACTCACTTGACGATCTGGCTCCATGGGACGTTGGGGCTAGCTTTAGAGGAAGAACTGGGTTGGTTCTTGCCTCATCTATGCCCCCTGATTTGCTGTGTGACCTTGGGCAAATTCCTTAAAACTTGTGGAGCTACTTTCTGTTTTGTCCTCAAGATGCTAGAGTGGGATCTATGACAAGTTCCTTTTTGGATTTTACCTGTAGAAGAGATCTTTAGAGATGGGCTGCCCTGCCTTGCTTGTTTAACAGATGGGGAAACTGAGGCCCAATAGGCAGGATGGATTAAAGAATAGTGGGAAAACTGAGCTCCTTTCTTCCCCACTGCATTCCAGTGCCCAGGCTCTATCTTTAGGGCTGGACATTTGGCTGTTTATCTTGGTCAGTGTTGACGTTAATAAATTACTGGGAGCCTAATTCTGGAGCAAAGGTCTTGATTGGCAAATAGTAGGAGCCACTCTCCTCTCTGCCCCCCGCCGCCCCCACCCTACCCCCCTGAGAAGCAGCCCCTCTATATTTAAACCAAAGTTCAAGTCAAGGCCAAACCCATGTGGATGCTGGCTTTAGAGGAAAGAACTCTGGTTGGTTCTTGCCTCCGCTCTGCCCCTTGATTTGCTATGTGACCTTAGGCAAGTTCCTTGAACTCTATGAGCTCCTTTTTATTTTATCCTCTTAAGAATAGGGACACTACTAGTGCCAGCACTGTAAGATCATTGCATAGAGTCAGTGAGATCATGCAACTGGCAAGTTTATCACACATCCCCTGCTTAGAGGCTCATGTATATTGGTCTTATAAATTTCACAGACTAGGCTCAGCGCCTGTGGCTCAAGTGGCTAAGGCACCAGCCACATACACCTAAGGTGGTGTGTTTGAATTCAGCCCGGGCCCACCAAAACAACAATGACGGCTGCAACCAAAAAACAGCCGGGCGTTGTGGTGGGCGCCTGTGGTCCCAGCTACTTGGAAGGCTGAGGCAGGAGACTTGCTTGAGCCCAGGAGTTGGAGGTTGCTGTGAGCTTTG